AAGTAACAAATGTTTCAAGACCCCCTGCCCCCTTTTTCTTAAAAAAACCCAAACAAACAACACCAAAAAACAAAAAACGAAGTCAACTAACCTACCAACCAACCAACCAACCAACCAACCAACCAACCAACCAACCAACAGACAAACAAACAAAAACAGTCAGTTTTAGTTTTAGTAAGGTTTTGCGGCGCTCGCAACTGCATAAGGTCATATGAGCGCCAAGGGGTGGAGTCAACAGAGAAGTCCAAACGGGGAATCAGGCTTACTCTGCTCACCTCTCTAGCCCCAACAGCTAAAGACTTCAACTATCTAGGCACCCTGGAAGTAGCACTTCACAAGAGAGTGACAAACATACAAAAGAAGTAGAGGACAGATAACGATAGAAAGGATGAGGAAAGAAAAATCAGCTGTTCCCCCTATGTTGTTTTGGCACAGTATGAGCATAGCATTTGTAAATCAGCTCATTTACAATTGTATGGTGCATAAGAACATGTTAATATTTCACTTTGGGAATGACCTAAAAACATTTTCAGTCAGTAGGACTGCCCTGGTGGACCGGGGGGGGGGGGGGGGCCGACAAAAAAAATAAACGAAAAAACAAACAAACAAACAAACAAAATAACCCCTGCTCCCCCCTCCCCCAAACAAAAAACCCAACTTAACAACAACAACCCCCCCCCCCCCAAACCGAACTCCATGTCCGTCTCCGATCAGACCGAGCCAAATGAGCGGAGACCATTAACAACTTTTTAATACAAGCCGAGTTCAGAATTCCGCCCTGGGAATTAGGGCCATCCCGGGTAGAGATGGATACAACACCCCAACAGACAGACCGAGATTTCGCGACCTCAGTGCTTTCTTGTCGTATCTCCATTTTTAATAACAGCGAAAACTGTTCATAACAAAGAGTGAGCTAGGGTTAAGGAGTCACATTTCCACTGTTAAAAAAAAGGAGATACGACAAGAAAGCACCGAGGTCGTGAGATACTCAATACAAATTTTCTCCCCACTTGGGAATCGAGCTCCGATCTCCCGCGTGCTACAGCGAAGTTCCTAACAACTGCACCAAAGACACCTGTTGAAAGTACATGTTTTGTTACACAATCTATTCGTTACACAATTCATTAAAAGATGGGAAACACAATGACACACACGCTATAATATGTGGTCACATAATATTTGAACAGAACTTTTCCGTACCTCAGGTGACCTTTTCACAAATCGTTTTTTCTTTCTTTTTTTCAGGGGAAATATGTGTCACGACGCAGTAGAATCAGACGCTCGTCAATTTTTGGAGATCACCTGAAAGCGTATTCATTTGCCTTGCTTTCGAAGGAAGAAATACTTATCTATTTTGAATAAAAGTCGAGAATATTTGTGATTTAAGGAGGTAGGGGTTGCCTGGTTTCAGAGGTAAGATTAGCGAGAAAATGGCGGCAAAGTTTGTTACTTCAATAGTTTGAGAGTCCTTAAAATCGGAAAATCCACATATTCTGAGGCATCTTTTTTCAGCAAAATTCCCATGAAAAAGTGTTTTAATATGGACATAAAAGGTGTTGAGCAAAAAAACCTACCACCAACCGAACAAACTTAAAAAAAAAATCAATAAAAATTGACATAGTGGCGGGAAAATGCCTATTCCTTCAATTTGATTATTTTGGCGAGAGCCTCATTTCACCACGATGTTTCTCATATTATTTTTCAGGTTTTTCTTGTCAATCTGCGGCTGTTGTCATAGAGTGCAACGGACCACACACATTGGATCTATCTCCCACCCAAACTAGCGGATATACAGACTGGGATTTCCAATGTTACCAAACACTTGGTTTCAGCAAGAATGCAAAAGAATTTTGGATAAAAAATCAATTAGCTGTTCAAACTAGTGCTCAATATTGGATTTTACACTCACATTCTTCTTCCTTCGGTGTCAGGTCTGGAGCAGACGTTGACGATAATGGTACCACACTCTTTCCAGCTGTCTGTCTTCCTGATCAGCTCGGATTTTGTTATTGTTTTTTTTATTCAGTTCATCTGTTTAACCGTATCCGTACGCACTGGGGTCATGTTGTACCCCCGGGGTTGTATTCTTCATAATTTAGAATACTTCGAGTACAAAGTTCTCTTTGAAACTTTCAGTATTTCTCAAAAAATAATTTTGACAGACTGCTATGCAAAGCGTACGGATTGGATTAACGAGTAAATTTCCCCTTTGGAAAGTCGTGGCACACAGTTCCCCACGTCGTATGGATACGATAGTAAAACACGACTAACGGATAGGGTTAAGGTCTCTCCTGCCTTCCTCTGCTCTTTCCCCCCCCCTCTATTTCCCTACTCAGCAGCAGTGTTTTTTAGTCCATTTGACCTATTTACGTGGCTAAAGATTCAAAATTGTCTCTTCCTTATGTGGTTCTCATTTTAGATCTTTCACAACCAGCCATTTTTGGAGCACTTCTTTATTTTGTCTTTCCTAGTGTCAGCGATGTCCTGAGAACTCTCCTTAAACACCTTATCTCGGCGGCGTTCTGTCTTCTTTCCACGTTCTTAAAGTCCAGCTCTCTCATCATACGAAAGGATTGACTGCATGCATACTTTTAGTGTTTTTATCACTGTGTTCACGGTTTTGTTTCTGCTTGAAAGGGAAGGTTTCATCTTGTTGATTTAAAAAAACAAACGATATTGCAACCCTTGTTTCTTTTTATCTGTTTGTTACATTTTGCAAGTGGGACAAATGTGTATCCAAAGTATTAATGTAAAGCTGTTGATCTGTTTTCTTCTTTTTTTCTTACACGTAATGTTGCAGTCTGGGATGCCAGCTTTTTCTTTAGACCACCATGTAATCATGTATTCTGTTTTAAATACATTTAGTTGTAGTTATAACCTGTTTCTTTGTTTTTCTCACTCTAGTTAAAATCTACTGAAGCATGGACTCAGAATCGGCTATCAAGACTATATTATCAGCGTACTGTATGTTGCTCATACTGTTGCCACCTTCCTTGAATCCTTCCACATCGCTGATGTTACTGATTTTAAAAGGTTCCTTGCACCCAAAGACATCGATAACAAACTAATAAAATAAATAAATTACATTTTTAGTAAATCCAGAAGGGTCATTTGGTTTACAGTGGCAAACACACACACACACACACA